CCCCAGCACAGCAAAACAAACAAACAAATGAAACAGATTATATCGCGTATTCCTAAATCTTAACAACAAAGACACAAACTCACAGGATCATGGCTGAGGAATAGCTGCTCACCTAATGGCAAGCAAGAAGCAAGTCCAGGAGGGAGATACACCCTTCCAGGCCATGGCCCCAGTGGCCTACCCCTTTAGACCAGTCCCTGCCTTCTAATAGCACAGTTAGCTGTATACTCATCAGTTGACTAATTCACCCATAAGTGTAGCACTGCAGTGGTCCAGTCACCTTCCGAAAGGCCTGCCTATGAGTTCATGAGGCTTTAAGGGGACATATGGATATAAACCATAATGCCGTTCTATGTGTAGAACACTGTGTACAAGCTTTGGGTTTTTCTTGCTCTTCTTTTTCTAGGAGCCTAAGATTTTTCATTAGGTTATTTATTTGAGCTTGCTCTGTTTTCCTAGTGTGGGCATTCACTGCTATGAATTTTCCATGTAGAACTGCTTTCATTGTGTCCTATAGATTCTTGTATGTTGTATTGGCATTATCATTTATTTGTAAAAACTGACTAATTTCTTCTTTAATTTCTTCTGTGATCCATTGATTGTTCAGGAGAGTGTTGTTCAATTTCCATGTGTTTGTGAAGTTCTTACAGTTTCTTATGCTGTTGATCTCCAGCTTAATTGGACTATGGTCTGATAATATACATGGGATAACTTTGATTCCTTTGCATTTATTTAAATATGTTCTGTGAACTAGTATATGGTCTATTTTGGAGAATGACCCATGTGCAGCCGAAAAGAATGTATATTCTGATTTTGTGTGGTGGAACATTCTGTAGATGTCTGTTAAGTCCATTTGTTCAAAAGCTTGGTTCAGTTCTAGTATTTCGTTGTTGATCTTTTGTCTAGATGATCTGTCTGTCTGTGATAGTGGGGGATTTAAGTCCCCCACTGCTATTGTATTGGCGTTTATTTGGTTTTTCATGTCCCTTAATATTTGTTTTATATAGTTGGGGGCATTAATATTTGGTGCATATATATTTGTAATATTTATGAATGTTATCTCTTCCTCTTGGATTGTTCCTTTTAAAAGGATGTAGTTGCCTTCTTTGTCTCTCTTAATCAGTTTTTGTTTGAAATTTACTTTGTCTGTGAATAAGATAGCTACCCCTGCTTTTTTCTGGGCTCCTGTTACATGGAGAACTGTTTTCCATCCTTTCACTTTCAATCTATGAGTTTCTTTTTGAACTAGGTTTGTTTCTTGTGTACAATATAGTGTTGGATTTTGCTTCTTTTTTTTTTGGTACTGGTGGATTTTGCTTCTTCATTCTGCCAGTCTATTTCATTTGATAGGTGAATTGAGGCCATTGACATTGATTGTGATTTGTATTGACTTATTATTGTCATGTTATTGTCCTTTTGTTGGCTCTTTTTAATTTTTCCCCCTCCCCCTTTAGTTTCTTGGCTTGCCCTATTGATTTGCTCTGTTAGGCCTCATGGTGTTGTGACCTTCATTGTCTTTTTCTAGGATATTGTGCAGAATTGTTTGGAGTGCTGGTTTGGTATTCATGAAGTTTCTCAGGTGTTCTTTGTCATGGAAGTATCTTATTTCCCCCATCCATTTTAAGAGTTTTGTGGGATACATCAGTCTAGGTTGGAGATTGTTTTCTCTTAGGGCTGGAAATAATCTCACTCCAGGTTCTCCTTGACCTGAAGGTTTGTGTTGAAAAGTCTGCTGTGATTCTGATGTGCTTTCCTTTGCATGTGATTTGTTTCTTTTCTCTAACTGCTTTCAGTATTTTGTTCTTCTGTTGGGTTTCCGGGATCCTGACTCCTATATTTCTATGTATAGATTTTTTTTTTAATCATGGCTAATTGGAGTCCTATATGCCTTACTTATCTGTATGTTAAATTCTTCTCCTCTGGGAAATTTTCTGTCATTAATTCTGTGATCAATTTTTTTTTAAAAGTCAGTTGTACTTTCTCCTGCTACTTTATGGATTCCTATCAGTCTTACGTTGTTCTTTGTGTCATCTAGGACTTGTTGGATTGATTTCTCATGATCCCTTTCTGTTTTTAAGAGATTTCTCTTTTTATGGTCACTGCCTGTAATCCTATCTTCACATTTGTTCAGTGTGCTGCGAATGCTTTCAATAGCATTTTTAATCTGGATATCTATGAATCCATTTCATGGATTCCATTTCTTTCCTATGTTGGGCATTTATGGCTTCTATCATGGTCCTGAGTTCATCTATTTTTTTGTTTGTTTCTGTTCTAGAGTCTCTAATTATGTCTTTCTTTGTGCTCACCATCTCTGTAGTTATCTGGGAAATTATTTCTTTTTTTTTTCTTTTGTTTTTTTGAGACAGGGTCTCACTACATAGTTGAGACTGACCTGGTACTCACTATGTAGCTCAGGCTGGTCTCGAACTCACAGCAATCCTCCTGCCTCAGCCTCCCGAGTGCTGGGATAACAGGTGTGCACCACCATGCCTGACTGGGAAGTTATTTCTGTTTTGAATTTTTCTAGAGCCTGACTGATCTGTTTCGTTACTTCCTGTGCTATGAATTCAGTATGTCCTTGTGGTTGATTGTCAGACTTTTCTACCTTGTTTCCCCTAGAATTTGCCATTGGTGAACTGGAAGTTTGTATTTGTGCCTTGCTTAAGTGTTTTTTCATTTTTATTTTTGTTGTTGGGCTGTCCTTGGTTTAATTCTTGGGTTAGTACTTTGATCTTCCTGATATAGCTGCTCTTTAGGTTTTGAGTCTCTAATGACTCAGAGACACTCTCATTTTCATAATATCATAAAGGACAATTCATTAAATCAGTCACAACCCGTTAGCCCAATTGATACAGTCAGCATCACAATAGTATCAAGCACAGCTTAGAAACTGACTATTTGTGGTAGTTATTAATCTATCACCTTTAATCATGTGAATTAAATCAGAATTGAGGACCAGCCCAAAATATGTTTATAGTGAATAAACTCTTCAATATAGCAACTTTACCCTTCAGAATGGGGACTTAGAAGGAGTGGGGAGGAGAGGAATAGGTAGGTAAAAGAATAGGAGAAAGTTTCAAGTGAAGCCAGGATGATCACACAAACTCTAGGAAACTGTTGAAGAGGGAAAGACAGAGTGCAAGAATAAAGACAAGAATAGAGCAACTTAACAGTAATAGGGAAGCTATAAATTGTACTCACTTTTCTTTGACACTAATGACAACTGAGCGAAGGAAAAAGGGAGAAGAAAAGAGAAAGAAGAAATCTGAATGAGGACAGGAACAGGAACAAAAAGGGAGATGAAGAATAACGTGGGGGGGGCAAGAGATTTAGTGGGAAAAAGAGAAAAGGAAGAATTTGCAGAATTGAAAAAATAAGAAATTTAAAATAAAAATTAAAAATAATAGGAAAAGAAAACAATTTGAAGAGCCTCTTTCAGGGTATATCTCTGCTGTCACAATAGACAATGTGGGCAGCAGTGTGCAGAACTAAGTCAATTAGTATCAGCTAGTCAATGGCAGACCCCTGAGATTCAGGCTGAATTCTGGCTGTAAGGCCTAAATTGAGCTCCCTGACCTTCTGTAGGGTTGAACTCTGCAAGGTTCTGCTGCAGTTTCCAGCTGCCCTTCCCCTGAAGATAAACCAAGTTCTGATGGAAGGTGGTGATCCCTCCAGTTTACCACCTGTGGAGGTCTGATGTGCCTTTATTGCAGTTATTCACTTCCATTCTATCTTCGGAGCTCAGTAGAATGGGCTTTATGACTTCTGCAGTGTGGATCCAGGTACTGGCACAATCAGGAGGCCTGAGAGCATGTGGGGGTGGGGAGGGGAGAATGCTACAGAGGTGGACTGGGCAGCCCTCTCTGGTCTGCTCCAATGAAGGCCCGGGGCACTGGAGGTGGGGGAGCAGTGAGCTCCCATAGTGGCTGGCAGTCCTCACTGGTCTGTTTTATTTTTTTTATTTTTTTGAGACAGGGTCTCACTATGTAGTTGAGACTGACCTGGAACTGGAACTCACTGTGTAGCCCAGGCTGGTCTCAAACTCTCAGTGATCCTCCTGCCTCAGCCTCTTGAGTGCTGGGATTACAGGCATGCGCCACCATGCCCAGCTGACTTTCTTCTTTTTTGTGATTGTCTTGGCTATTCTGGATCCCTTGAAATCACATATGAATTTTAGGGTTAATTTCTATTTATGCAAAAAACACCGTTGTGATTTTTCTTGTGCTTGCAAGACAGGCGGCAGCACCACAGAGCTAAATCCCTGGCCCACCATTGAGATTTTGGAGGAGATTTCATTGAATGTGTTTGTTGTTTTGAGTAATATTATCATATTAAAACATTAACTCTCCATTCCATGAACATAGGACGTCCTTTCATCTTTCTATCTTTTAAATTTTAATAGCTACTAGGGCCTGTATTTTGGCTATTTGAAAGGTGATATGAAAGGCTTTGTGGCCTGGAGGCATTGAACTTTGCTGACTTAGAAAATGTACGATAGGGCTAGGGATTTAGCTCAGTGGTGCCACTGCCTGCCTTGCAAGCGCAAGGTGTCCCGAGTTTGATTCCTGGTACCAAAAAAAAAAAGAAAAGAAAATGTATGATAATGGATATGGTTAAAAGTAGATGGTTGCAGAAGCTTATGTGGACTTGGGCCCGAATCTGTTCACATTCAGATAAGGTGATTAGTTTTCTCTCTCCTCATCATGGGCAATATCACTATTTACAACTTCATAGCAAATTATTAATGAGAAAGTAAAGGACCAGGTAGCCCATGAAAAAGCATCCTGGTTGTTGCACAGTTCCAATCAGGGCATGTTTCCTTTTGAGTAGCTGAGTACAGGGGATAGAGGCTTCAGATTCATCTAGAAGTGATAGAAGACATGATAATTCTACGCAAGAAATGTCTGATATCTGTCATGCAAGATCCATGGGAATCACAATGGGAAGGGACCAGGCACAGATTTCCATTAATTTTCTGTTTTCTATGTTTGTACCATCAGGTCCCTGAGCATGATTCCTCAGAGCCTCTCTCCATTTCGGATCGCTCCCTTTGGAATGCTCCTTGGGCTGTTGATGGCCTTCTGTTTCACCTTCTGCCTCAGTCGTCAGAACCCAGTAAGTGTCTTATTACAAGTAGGAAGGATCCTTAATGACGCCTGAGGAAAACCTTCCTCTGACAGATCTATTGTTTGATGTTATGGGCTTTTATTCATTCTTAGGGGAATATATGGCTTTTTCTTTCTCAGTCCTGAGTCCTTTCCCCTCTACTTAAAAACTCATGGTATAGTTTCTCTTTGGAGAAAAGGCAATGATAACATAATAATATTAAGCTTCCACATACCAAACATTTATTAAATATTCTTTATTCTCATTTAATTCTCCCAGCAACCCTATAAAGTAGGCAGCTACAATTATTACCCTTATTTTGAAAAAGGGGACACTTAGGAACAGAGACTTTTAAGTATCTTGTCCAAAAATCACATAACCAGTTAGATGCAGGACTTAGAAATTCAGGATTCTCCTCAGGGTCTGGGTGCCTGTGTGGTAAGCACCAGGAAGACTCTGCTTCTTCCTCTGTTCCTTTCTTGTGCTTTTGCTGACTGTCTTTATCCTCCTTTCCTTTGTCCTTTTCTCTCTGTTCTTTCTATGGCTTTCTTCATTAACCTAGATCTCATTGCTTAGGGCCTCTGTCTTTGTCACAGGCAGGAGGAGAATGCCTAAGAAGGCCTATGCTGGCCTGACTGCAAAATGCTGAAGCTTCTGACTTTGTTTGCCTGGTCTTTCATGCCCTTAACCAGTTCCCAGTGCCCTTCTTTTCCCCTCCCTGGAGAAGTTCTGACAGTTAGTTTCATGACAGTTTCAACTTTCCCTAGCCACCTTCCCCAACCCCTGGGGCTTTCACTAAATGTTGGGTAAAGTGCTAGAGGCTTTAGAACCAGAGGCCCTTGAAGTGTAAATGACAATTGTGATGAATTTAATAACATCAGCACAGCCAAGGTTCACCTCTGGCTCATGGCAAGCTTCTACCTTCTCTCTGAAGTCATTTGTTTTCTTTTTGCCTTTCTCCCTACTTTGTGGAGCAGGAGAGAAAGTACAGTTAGAAGTCACGAATCCTTTTGAGCTTTTAATGTTCTCTGACTAGGATCCTGTTGGTGCTGTTTTTTTGGCCTCTTCTTTAAGGGCAATGGAGGACAGGATCCCAGGGGTCCCTGAAGGTAGGACTTGTTATAGCATGAGGTTAGGGCTGTCTGTTATGCCTCAGTGGTAAAGTGGAAAAGCACCCAAGACTCTCAAGAGATCAGGGTTGTGTCCCTAACTTGTGGCTCATGAGGATCCTTGTGCTCCCTATTGAGAGCTTTAGCAGATGCACAATTAACAAAAGCATGCTGATGAATTTACTTAAGGACCATGTGTAAGTCCCTTTTGGATAATAGTCCAACCAAATAGATGAGCTTTCAGAGCCATAATTATTCTGGCCCATTTATATTAGCTCTATTGAGTCTAGTCTCAGAAAAATGTTAATACTGACTTTCAACAACAGAAGCTGCTTTTATCCTTATGTCTGTTCCTAAGCTGTATCCATTTGTCATAATCTTTCATCCTATGCTAAGCACAAGTAGGAGTTGAAGCATCTTTTCTCTTATACCATAAAAATTGCCCTGATGGCATTTAAAATCCAAAATATGCAACCAGCTATCTTCACAATGGTGAAGGCGTTATAGGGGTAGGGATGCTTATCTTTCCTTTTGAGCCTAGAATCCTCACAATTGCTCTTGATGACCTAGAATTGCCCTCCCTAAAGGCATTTATGCAGATTAATGGACAACTGGGACAAGTTGGCTGTGTATATCGTTATAGACTATAGACAGCCTCCCTCTCCAGCTCCTGCAGTGGTACTTCCCTGGGATGCCTTATCTTAGGAGGATTGTAGATGCTAAGAGGTTGTGGTTTAGAGGTACTAGCCTTCAAAAAGGCACTGAATGAGGATAGAGGTAGTGGAGCCCAGTGGAAGGAACACAGGTTCTTTGTGTACTTGTTTTTGCCCACGTTCTTTGGTGGTTTGACCATTCCTGAGCTTTGTTTCCTCATTTGTAAGGCAGGTTGTTACCTCCCTCTTAAGGTTTTAGTGTAAATTAAATGTGATTGTATCAATAAAGCACCTGGATTGGGACTGGTATAATATGGTCAATAAATGTCAGGTATTATTTTTAGTATGGGAGTGGCTGCTTCAGTGATTTAGTTTGGAGCTTGTCAAGCTAACTCCTGTCCTAAAATGTTGCCCTCGTGGTTGCCTTCGTTCACAGTGTTATCTCTCCACCATTAGAAATTTACTCATTCATTCTCTTGGATCTCAAAGGCCTTAGCTTTTGAGAATATTTTAAGAATATTTTATTCAGATACAAGCACAAAGAAGTGTAACGTGGTAAGATGTTGTCAGCCAACACCTTAGCAGGGATTTCTTGCCAATCAGTTAAGAGGAAATTGGTATTTGGAGTGATGGTGGTAGGGAAGAGAGAGAGAGGATGATCTATCATGGAAGGGATCCCTGAGAAGCCAGCTGGGAAGGAACACAAATGTGGAATTTACTTCAGAACTTAGCAGAGGCATCTTGCCTCTCTTGCCTTTTGGTATCTCTCCTAGTCAGGATAGTGCCTGGGCAGAGGGGCTAATTTTGCTTGTCCTTCCTTTGGGACTGTGATTTTTTTTTCAGCTTTAATTGAGTTTATTGGAACATTTTAGGGATACAGTACAGTTGCATTCATTGTTGGGAATCCTGTGCCTCTACATGACAAGTCTTGATTCTCATTTTTTCCCCTTACCTCTGCCCTCCCTTCACCCCCTCCTCCCCTCCCCATCTACAAACACTTTATTTTCATCTTTTCATTCTCTCACATTTTTTTCTTTTCCCTTTTTACTCTTCCCCTACCCATCCCACCTTCCCTACACCTTTAGCTCCTTTCTTCCCATTTCTAAATGTCAGTAATCTTATTAGAATCTTATGCATTGTTGCAGATTATTCACACCAGGGAAACT